CCACTGAGCCACCGTGCTGCCCCTCATCTCCCTGGTGACTATTGTGGCAAGCCTCCTGGCTTTATGTCAAGACAGTGGTAATATGAACTTGGATCTCTGGCTGAGGAAGCAATGCACAAAAAGGCAAGATGAGACAATACGAGGCAGGGCAGGGATGCAGCAAGCATTCGAGTAGATTCAGAGCGAGTGAGCACTATGACAACAAGTGAAGAGCCCAAAGGTATAGCCTGGTCTAGTCTGGGAGCTGGGGATGTGCCCCTAAATGCACAGTGTCCTTGCTGCAGCGCTGCATTGCTAGTTTCGATGCACATGAGGTGCAGCACCAAACTCCAGAAGTGTCCTGTAAGTGGATCAGAGATGTGCCCTGGTGGTTCATAGGAGGCTGGCACATGTCAGATGCCAATGTCCGTGGATGTGGGGTGCATGTGCCTGGTGCCTGTGAAGGATACTCTGAGATCACGGTGCTCTGCGTCCAACATTAAGGTCTTTTGGAGCAAGCGAAGTGAACTTGCCATGAGCCCACACTGTTTCCATGTCGGGTTGCCCTCGCGGCGAGTTTATACAGATCACAACCCATGCTCAGTTAACAAGGCATTTAACAAGCGAAAGTGAGCATCCATCGAGAAGTTGCCACTGCCTAGCGAGAATCTCACCGCCCTGCTCGAGAAAAAGGAGCAAGATGTGGTGAGATCAGGTTGGTATTGACATGGGTCTCACCAAACATCTCACCAGAGTCTATCATCATCCCACCAGGGCCCGTCTCATTCAGAACCCAGTGAGATTCCACCCATCGATTCCAAAACATCGACCAGGCAGAAGCTGACTGGCCCAAATGTTAGCGCATTGATAAGGGATAACACCCCTCTGACAGCCATTCCTGCCAGTCTAGATAAACAACTACAAGTAATTGCCTCAGCAAATGAAGAACAGGTCCAGCAAGGCTCGCAACCACAGAGCGAGAATCAGCTCTGGCAGGTTTTGGGAATCATCAAGTTGCCAGTAACATATCACTGCTGGGTCTCCAGGAAATCGCTCTGGGGTAAACACCCAGCTTTGAACTCATCAACAAGCCATCAATAATTTGCAATGATTGTTGCCATTTGTCAAAGCGTGGCAATGTGTGAAGGAAACAACAGAAATACTTTCCAAACACATGTGACAATGCTTATTGACCATAGGACAATACAGTGTTTGGAGTGAGTTACGGTGATGATGTAAACGGGAGAATCAGGTTACACTGTTAAACTCTCCACCAGCCATTTTATTCTTCGTAATGTGCATGCTAGTTTTTGTTTCAATAGGGTGGCACAGATCATTAAAGGTGGCAGGACAGGTGGAGACAGCAGTTAATAGAATAGAATCCCTCCAGTATGGAAACAGGCCATTCAGCCCATCATGTACACACTAACCCTCAGAACAGCATCCCACCCAGACTCACACCCTTACCCTCTTGTCCTGCATTTCTCATGGCCACTCCACCTAACTGCACACCCTGGACACTATGAGCAATTTAGCATGGCCAATCTACCTAACCTGCACAAAATTGGACTGTGGGAGGAAACCAGAGGAAAGCCACGCAGACATGGGGAGAAGATCTAAATTCCACACAGACAGTGGTCTGAGGGTGGAATTGAACCTGGGTCCCTGGCGCTGTGAGGCAGTAGTGCTAACCACTGAGTCACCATGCTGCTCCCATCAGACAATTTACCTTAACATTTGTGAAATTCAATCTAAATATCAATTTCAAACTTTGAAATATTTAAGGGTCATGTTAATTGCTGGTTTTATGAAAAATAGGCGACTTGCTAATTCCATCTAAAATCAATAAAATTAATAAAGCAGACGATGTGGAGGTGCCGGCGTTGGACGGGGGTGGACAAGGTCAGAAGTCATACGACACCAGGCTATAGTCCAACAGGTTTGTTTGAAATCACAAGCTTTCGGAGCAGCGCTTGCAATTTCAAATAAACCCGTTGGACTATAACCTGGTGTGGTGTGTCTTGTGAATACAGCACACACTATTCTTGGCTTTATTAATAGGGGCCTGGAAGACAACTGCAAGGAGATGATGTTGGCTCTGTACAAGACACTTGTTAGACCTCAGACACAAAAACAGGAATTGCTGGAAAAGCTCAGCAGGTCTGGCAGCAATTGTGGAGACAAATTGGAGTCAACTTTTCAGGTCACGTGACCCTTCCTCAGAACACTCCACCCGAAATGTCAACTCTGATTTCTCTCCACAAATGCTGGCAGACCTGCTGAGCTCTTCCCACAACCTCTGTTTTTGCTTTTGATTTACAGTATCCGCAGTTCTTTCAATTTTTGTTTTGTTAGACCTCAGCTGGAGTGCTGAGCTCAGTTGTGGGCGCCACATTGTAGGAAAGATGTGAATGCATTGGAGAGTGAGTGCAGAAGCGATTTAAAAGTATGGTTCCAAGAATGAAGCTTAAATTCGCTCTCGGGGAGCTTTACTCTGCACTGCAAGTACGCTATGCCTCACCTCGAGGTGCTTAATGCTAACGTTGCTGACTGGAAATAGAAATGTGTGGCAATGCCCAGTTCCAGCAATCCTTACCTTGACAAGCCCAACATTTCACTAGTTAGAGTAGGTTTCCTTTACATTACTCACTTCCTGTAGCCAATAAATACACTTACGCTAATGTAAGTCCAACTGAGCGATGACATGTCATTCAGAAAATACTTCCTTGCTATTAATCCAGGGCTAAATTATGAGCCAGTGATTAAACAGCAATGTGCATGGAAATGTGTGTTTATGCAGCAGCTACACTAGATACTGTTTAATACTCCTCAGGCCTTCAGGTACCTCAGCAATAGTTATTCAGACTGCAGCCTGTGCAATGCTAAATATAAAGCCTGAAATAGGCCATTCAGTCCATCAAGCCTGCTGTAACATTCAATGGCTGATCTGATAATCCTCAATTCCACCTTCCTGCCTTTTCCCCATAGCCCTTGATCCCCTTATTGATGAAAAAAATCTATCTCAGCCTTGATTATACTTAATAACCCTCAAGGGGAGGTGATGGCCTAGTGGTAATATCACTGCATTGTTTATCCAGAGACCGAGATAACATTCTGGGGACCTGGGTTCAAATCCCGCTGCGGCAGATAGTGGAATTTGAATTCAATGAATGCCTGGAATTAAGGGTCTAATGATGGTCGTGAATCTATCGTGGATTGTTGGGTAAAAACCCACCTGGTTCACTAATGTCCTTTAGGGAAGGAAACTGCCATCCTTACCTGGTCTGGCCTTCATGTGACTCCAGACCCACAGCAATGTGGTTGACTCAACTGCTCTCTGGGAAACTAGGGATGGACAATAAATGCTGCCTAGCCAGCGATACCCTCATCCTGTGAATGAATAAAGGAACCTCTAGAGCCCTCTGTGATAAAGAAATCCATACATTCACTCCCCTCTGAGAGAAAAAGTTCCTCCTCATCTCTCTCTTTCAAATGCAACGCCTTATTCTGAGGTGACGCCCTCTGATCCTAGACTGTCCAACAAGGGGAACCAAACTCTCCACATCTACCCTGTCAAGTACCCTCAGAACCTCGTATGTTTCAAAAACGTTGCCTCTCATTCTTGTAAACAATGAGTACAAACCCAATCCACTCAATGTCTCCTCATAAGATAGTCTTTCCATAGCAGGATAAGCTGAGTAAACCTTCTCTGGACTGTCCCCAGTGCTGGCCTTTCATTCCTTAGATAAGGGACCAAAACTGTTCACAGAATTTCCAGCTGTGGTCTGAGTAGTTCTTTGTATAGTTTCAACGAAACCACTCAGCTTTTATACTCCATTCCCTCTGAAGCTCTGAATCCTAAACTTTTCCTGTGGTGTCAGTAACCTGTAATGACTCAGCAGGCTAGAGGCATTAGACGAGGTTAGTTTTAGCCGAACGAGCCTATTTTTATACTCCATTCCCTTTAAAGTAAACATTCCCTCAGCCCTGCGCTGGAGAGGTGGTTTGGAGCATGGTATTCTGCAACCACTCAGCCCTCTGCACGTGTCACTGAAAACACAAAGGCCCGAAACGTCAGCCTTCCTGCTCCTATGATGCTGCTTGGCCTGCTGTGTTCATCCAGCTCTACACCTTGTTATCTCAGATTCTCCAGCATCTGCAGTTCCTACTACCTCTGGTCTACTGGGTGTTCCCCTGAAACCAAACACATGCCTCTTGGTTTTCTCCTACTTATTATCAGTGGAGCATCCAAACTCTATTCTAGAGTTTCCATAAACTTTCTGATGCATCAACTCTCCACCTTTCCTTTACCTCCTTCTGTCACCTTCAAAATCTCCCTCAAAGCAATCCCTTTGTATGATGCCTCTCTCAGGTCCTGCTCAGTCCCTCATTGAGTATAGGAGTTGGGAGGTCACATTGCAGCTGTTCAGACACTTTTGGAATATTGCGTGCAATTCTGGTCTCCCTGCTGTAGGAAGGATGTTGTAAAACTAGAAAGGGTTCAGAAAAGATTTACAAGGATGTTGCCAGGGTTGGAGGGTTTGAGCTAAAGGGATGACTGAATAGACTGGGGCTATTTTCCCTGGAGCATTGGAGGCTGAGGTGTGACCTTATAGAGGTTTATAAAATCATGAGGGGCCTGGATAGGATAAATAGCCAAGGTCTTTTCCCTGGGGTGGGGGAGTCCAAAACTAGAGGGCATAGGTTTAAGTTGAGAGGGGAAAGATTTAAAAGGGACCTAAGGGGAAACATTTTCAATCAGAGGGTGGTGCACCTATGAAACGAACTGCCAGAGGAAGTGGTAGAGGCTGTTACAATTACAACATTTAAAACGCATCTGGATGGGTACATAAATAGGGAGGGTTTAGAGTTACATGGGTCAAATGTTGGCAAATGGGACTAGATTTATATAGGACATCTGGTCAGCATGGACAAGTTGGACTGGAGGGTCCGTTTCTGTGCTGTACATCTCTATGACTCTATGACTCTAAGCCCCTGTCCCCAGAATCCTGCAAAGCGATTCAGCGTATTTGCTTTACGTAGGCATCATCCAATTGTGAACTGTTGCGGGCATTGCTGGCTTTGATAGCATCCATTTCCCATCCCACTTGCCAAGGTAGTGGTAAACCACCTTCTTGATCTGCCACAGTCCTTGTTGTGTAGGTGCATCCATTGTACAGTAAGCCCAATGGTATTGACCCAACGACACTGGAGGAACAGCGATATTGTTCCAAATCAAGATGGTGCGTGGCTTGGTGGGGAACTTCCTGCTTCCATGTTTCTACTGCCTCTGTCTGTCTCGTTGGTAGAGGTGGTGGATTTGGGATTAAGCGTTGACCAGCTGCCACAGTAGATTTTGTAAGCGGTATACTTGGCTGACAGTGTGCATCGGTGGTTGTGGGCATGTTAATTGCGTACTGTCCTGTGACTGTGTACAGCTTCTTTCTCTACACCAGGTGTGGAACATGTGAAACGAATCTGATCTGAGAGCTCATGAGTGTGAATAACTACAATGCACAAAACTACATCAGCAGCTGTGGTCAGGAAATGAAATGAACAGCACATTCTTTCACAGAAACTGAAACACTGAGACACCATTGCACTGCTCCAATTCCAAATGGAGATGTTTGATTGCAGATAGAGATTCAGTGCTGAAACCACACCCCACCCAAACTACTTTCCTCAATACATTATAATGGGTCCTGGTTCAGTCGGCTGGTTTCTGATGCACAGTGATGCCAACAGCACGGGTTCAAAACTCATACTGGCTCAGGTCATCAGGAAGGTGCTGCCTTCTATACCTTGCCTGAGATATGGTGACCCTCAGGTTAAACCCAGCGGCAATCATCTCTCTCTGAGAGAGCAGCCCAATGGTCCTCTGAGACCACAGAGACTTTACCTTACTATAATGGGGCACTGTCCCCTCTCCATTGTCACAGTCCTCCCTGGCTCTTTTAAGGAATCGTTTGGTTTTGAGGATATGAGTTTCCACGAGAGTCACAGAGCTGTACAACATGGAAATAAACAATTCAATCCAACCAGACATCTCTTATCTGACCTACTCCCGTTTGCCAGCCTTTGGCCCATATCGCTCTAAACCTTTTCCTATTCATACACCCATCCAGATGACTTGTAAGTGTTGTAACTGTACCAGCCTCCACCACTTCCTCTAGCAGCTCATTCCATACAAGCACTATCCTCTGTGTGAAAATATTGCCCCCTAGGTCCCTTTTATATCTTTCCCTTCTCATCTTAAACCTATGCCCTACAGTTTTGGACCTCCCCTTACCCTAGGGAAAAGACCTTGTCTATTTACCCTATTCATGCCCCTCATGATTTTATAAACCTCTGTAAGGTTACCCCTCAGCCTCCGATGCTCCAGGGAAAATAACCCCAACCTATTCAGCCTCTCCATATAGCTCAAACCCTCCAACCCCAGCAACATCTTTGTAAATACTTTCTGAATCCTTTCAAGTTTAACAACATATTTCCTATAGGAAGCAGACCAGAATTAAACACAGTATTCCAAAAGTGACCTAATCAATATCCTGTACAGCCTCAACATGACCTCCCAATTCCTATAGTCAATGCACTGACCGATGAAGGCAAGCATACCAAATAAGTGTTCTTCCAGTATCTCATGCCAGGTGGCCATTCAGCCCATTAGTCCCATGATTGAAGCCTACTGTGCGGTCTTCTTCATTTGAGTCTTGAGCCAACCTTGTCGAAACCCCCTAAGAAAATCAACGTTATCCGAATCACAGCTAAACCCATTTAATAACGCAGTAATCTCAGTTCAGTAAACTCCTCACAGGAACAAATCGCTGCCCAAACGAACCAACTCATGCACGCTGTGAACATCAAACACTGAAAGCTGCGTTTGAGGTTCCAATTCCACATTTGCTTCATATTTCAGTCCCAGGGAGTCTGGAGGAAGCTCACTGTTGATACTTTAATGTAATTGAAACTACACGGTTTGTGTTTCATTTATGATTAGTCTGTTTGGTGAAACGCTCCTCTCTCTGAGTTAGAACATTAGACTTTACGATGGTGGGGTGGTTAGCTGGATGGCTGGTTTACAATGCCAACAGTGTGGGTTCAATTCCCACATTGGCTGAAGTTACTGTGAAGATTACTCCATCTCAGCCTTGCCCCTTTGTCTGAGATGTGGTCACTCTCAGGTTAAACCACCACCAATTGCCTCTCTCTAATGATAGTGCAACCCAATGGTCTGGTAAGACTCTGGTGAGTTTGCATATGCTTTATAGCCTACTCTAGGCCTCAGGCTTCTAACCTTGGCTCTGACCTCAGTGTGGAACTGAACCAGAAGCTGTTAGAATCACTGAGCTTTGGGTCCTATCTGGCCTCTCCGGGTGGTCTGATAAAGGTATGTGTTTAGAGAGTCATACAGAATAGAAACAGGCCCTTCGGCCCACCATGTTGATGCTGACCAACAAACACCAAAACTACACTAATCCCATTTACCTGCACTTGGTTGATAGCCTATTATGCCCTGGCACTTTAAGTGCTCATCCAAATGCTTCTAAATATTGCGATAGTTCCTGCCTCCACCATTCTCTCAGGCAGCATGTTCCACATTTCTGCCAACCTCTGGGTGAAAATAATTTTTCCTCAGATCCCCTGTAAGCCACTCACTTCTTACCTTAAACTTATGCCCTCTGGTCTTAGACAGTCCGACCAAAAGATTCTCACAATCTACCCCACCTATGCCTCTCATAAGTTTGTACACCTCAGTCAGATGCCCCTCAGCCTCCTCTGCTCCAGGGAAAATAATCCCAGCCTATCCAACCTCTCCTCATAACTGAGACCTTTCATCCCAGGCAGCATCCTGGTGAATCTCCTCCGCACCCTCTCCAGTGCAATCACATTTTTCCAAAAGTGTGGCGACCAGAACTGCACACAGTATTTCATCTGTGGCCTAACCAATGCTCTATAAAGTTGCAGCAAAATTTGCCTGCTCCTATATCCTACACCCAAATTAACAATGGCCAAGCATTCCGTCTGGAGATAGTAGGAACTGCCGATGCTGGAGAATTCGAGATAACAAAGTGTAGAGCTGGATGAACACAGCAGGCCAAGCAGCATCAGAGGAGCAGGAACGCTGACCACAAGCATTCTGTATGCCTTCCTCACCACCCCCCTTCCCGTACTTATGCTGATACCTTCAGGGATCTACAGACTTGTATACTAAAGTCCCTTTGTTCCTCAGTACGCCCTAGGAACCTTCCAATCATTGTGTATATCCTTCCCTTATTAAACCTCCCAAAATGCATCACCTCACACTTATCAGGTTTAAACTTCATCTGCCATTGCTCTGCCCAAATTACCAACTGATCAATATCAGACTGTAGCTTGAGACCATCCTCCTGTCAACACCTACCAATTTTCGTGTTTTTTGCAAAATTACTAAGCATACCTTCTACATTCGCATCCATGACAAACAGCAAGGATCCCGACACCATTCCCTGTGGTATGCCACTGGCC